TTGTTTTTATATTTTTCAATATATTTATTTTGTTTGTACAAAATAAAAAAATAATTTTTTACGATACAATAGTCTTCGTTAGGCTTAACATCGACGAAAATTCAACGCAAAGCGACACGCAATGGAGAAAAATTTTAATATCGGATATGTTAAACTATTTTTTCGTACACAAATCGGTTATCCGAAATATCAGTTATACGAACAACCCCAGTCCCCAATTGATTCGGAAAATCGACGCTCTACTGTACTTTATTACTATGTTTATTATATGTAATAATAAAATACATATATACACAGTCTTGTGTTTTTATTAGTCATGTTTTTTTCCATTTGAAAGGGTTAAAGAATCTGTCTAATGTTGATTGCTTTTCTCTCTTCTTCAGGATTTTTCGTAAGTAATTAATAGCATTGCAATTGTAGAAATCCCCAAACCACAGCCTGGTTTGGATGCCATTTTAAGACTGTTGTTCTGACATCCTCCCACTTCTTCAAAGGGTTTTTAATAACAGATATTGGCATTAATCCTGTTTTTAGCAGAAAACATATCTTGCCGAGTTTCTTGGTGTTCTTCATTCAAGAGTTCTCGGCATTTTTCTGTCGTCAGATCCGTTTCAGGTTCCATTATGAACTCTTCGATGTTCTTTATTTCTCAGATGTGATTTTTGTTACTCCTTTAGCTGCTTGAGTCTTCTTGATTATACAGTATTTTAAATAAGATTGAACTGCAGCCTACTGTAGACCTGTTCACATCATACTGCCCAGCAACATTAGGCATCTTCTGCCCACTCTACCTTTGCTATTATACTCTCACCTTTCGAAAAAAAAAAAAAACAGATGCAAAACTTAACGAGTGCCTACCCGACAGTCTCGCAAATACATAAAAGAATTGTTTCTTCAGAAAAATAAAAGACTGGAATTACAAGGGAGAGTTTCAAAGTTTGGAAGAATACTATCCGATCGGTATATACCGGCTTGAGCATCGATGTCGACATCTCCCACACTCCGAAAAGTTTCAAATTGCTTCCTGAAGATAAGGGAAGACCAATCGGTATTCATTATTTTACATCGCTTCTTCTTGTGTTTGTTCTGTGGGGTGGGGTGTTATCCAATCATGTGTTCGTTGTCTGAACATAAAAATCTTTCGTAAAAGTGTTTATTATCCGATCTGTTCGTTAACCAATCACCCACTGTATATATATATATATATATAAATGGCTCACTTATTGTTTGAAAACTCAATCAGTTCACAAACCAACAAACAAATCAGTTCACAAACAGATTGCTGAACAAGCTACTCAGCAAGAGCCAACCACAGATTGGAGAGAGACAGATTGTCAACTCCCTATACTTCTTATATTAAAGAAAATTGACAGCTCGACCAATCAACAACAGGTCTATTGATTTAGAACTTAGTAGTGCTGAGGGAATGGGTTCAATAAAATGCAAGGCTTGAATTTATTTGTCAAAATTTATTTTGTCCACTTCAAAGTAATTCCATCCCACTGCAATACACTTATGCTGGTTTTTTTTTTTTTTTTATCTTGAAATGTGCTTTAAAGTCATTTTCGTGAAACCCCTTTGAGACTTGCAACAAATTTTATTTTATGGCATCAATTGACTCAGAATGGTGACCACAAAGCATAAATTTTAGTTGGGGAAACAGGAAGTCATGCAGTGCCATATCAGGTAAATATGGATCTTGCAGAATTAATTTGTTGAATTTTTTTGTCAAAAATTCATTAACAACAAGAGCATTGTGAGCAGATGCATTATTGTGGTGCAAAATCTATGCATTTTCTTGCCACAAATTGGCCATTTTCTATGAATTGTTTCATGCAAACAACACAAAATGCTCAAATAATAGTCTTTGTTGACAGTTTGACCAGTTGGAAGGAATTCATGATTCACAACATCATGACAATTGAAGAAAACAGACAACGCAACCTTGATTTTTGACTGGCTTTGATGTAGTTTTTTGGTCTTGCTTTACCTTTCGGGTCCCATTCACTTGATTGTTGAGTTGTTTCAGTATCAAAAGCATAGATTCATGTTTTATTACCTCATAATGATACGTTTGAGAACAATTTGCCTTGAGAATGCATTTTCTCAGCCACTTGAAGATGTTGCTGCTTTTGGAAAGAATTTGATGTTTTCAGGATGACTTCAGAAGCAATGCATCTCAAGCCCAAAAGATCCTTTAAAATTGCTTGACAAGATCCAAATGATACTGGAACATGTTCAATAATTTCTTTTGTAAATTTTTCATCCAATGGAGATTATTATTATTAACAAAAAATTAAAGACTGTCTGCCCAAAAGGCAGACAGTCTTTAAAAAATTCCATTGGATGAAAAATTTGCAAAAGAAAAAATTGGAATGTATCGTCACCAGGGGGAAGTTTCCTAAATCTGCATTTTCCAGCACTTGTTCCAGTAGATAAAAGCAGAAACACCCCATAGAAAGCAAAACGTCTGTATAACACCAGTTCCTTTTTTAAAAAAATTTTTTAATTGGATGTAATTGTGTTTTTTAAAGGACTGTTTTTAAATTCTGGTGGCATGTAGCCTATAAAGGAAGGTCTGTTGCCGTGAATGTGAAGTCTGGAACACAAAAAATAAATGGTGGCCCCTTTTGGGCAGATAGTCTTTAATTTTTTTGTTAATAATATTCAATAATGTCCAATTGCTAAATGATGATCATTGAGCACCAAGTCTCTGACTTGAGCAATATGTTCATCAGTTAAAGTGGATGGTTTATCAGAGCATGGTTTGTCTTTGACACATTCTCTGCCTTGAACATCTTGTACCATTCAAACACTTGCTTTTGATAGACTGTTGTCACCAAATGTTTCTTGCAACATTTCCAACATTTTTGTAGCAGTAATTCCATTGTGAAAACAAAATTTAATGCATGTTCTTTGCTCAATTACACTTGACATTTTGAAAAATCATTGGTGCAAAAATTCTTTACACCAGGGCTGTGGAGTAGGAGTTGGAGTCGTGGAGTTTTGGTGTTTTAGCCGGAGTCGGAGTCGTCAAAAAATCCGCCGACTCCGACTCCCTTTTTACTTACCAACTTGTTATGTATATGAAACGGAGTCGGAGTCGGATGGTAAGGAAAAGTCAGAGTTGGAGTCGGTAGATTTTTACGCAACTCCACAGCCCTGCTTTACATACACAACAATGTGTAGAATCTGAAGCAGGCATAAACTAGGCCAAAAATGTTTGTTTTTAATAAAGTATTGCTGGAAGACATAAGAAAAGTTTGAAATTAATTATATGAATATGTTGCCACTACTTTCTTTTCAGCCTATGTATATTTTTCTTGTATTCATTCAAAAAATGTTTAATTTTATCCAAGAAATATTGATTGATTGATTCTTTTATTTATCATAATTTGAATTTAATTTTCATATTATTATTATTGCTGCTGCTGATTCTGATATCATTAGNAAACTAATAAAAATATAATATTCAATGATTTGATGATTGAATTTTGAAAGAAAGATGTTGATCTCAAGTAATTTTAGATATAATATATTATATCGCTTATAATAACTGTTCAATTATATATATTTTATAAATATTAGTTTTATTAGAATCATTTATTATAGTTGAAGCAAAGTATAGTAAAGACTCAAAAATTCTTTTGTGTAATATAGGTAAAACTAATAAGAGAGATGGACAAATTTATTAATAATAAATAATATAAAATTTATTAGACTACATAATTTAGATTAAGTTAGATCAGTGAATTTATTAATGATTAAATCATTATATACACATGAAAATCATTAATATTAAGACTAAATGTATTAATAAATACTGCATATTTATTTTATTATATATAATTCTGTTGAGTGGATGTATTAAATTCATATAATTTATATTAAATAAAATGTTCTTACAGTTTTTAATTAAAGTGGAAATTTAAATTATTTATAGTTACAAAGTTGTAATATTTTTCAGTACTTTGTTCTACTCCAAAATGTTATTGAGCTGTTTATTTTTTCTTTTCCTGTCTATATTCATTATATATTTTATCTTTAGTATATAATGATAAATAAATGAACTGAAATGTATATTATTATTTTTCTTTTTATAACCTAGATAACCAAATATTTAATTTCTCTAAATAATTAATTGAATCAAGTAATTTCAATGTTCAAATTAGTCTAGCATATGCTTATGTATGTATATATGTGTATGATATAAAATATATCAATTCAAATTAACCACTAATGAATATTTTTCTTTAGGTTGGAAAGACTTGTAAATGTGTTACAGAAGAAAGTTAATGGCTTGAGTGTTGGAGTATCAGTCTGACAATATCTCTTAATTATTAGAATTTATCTAACTAGTCAACCGTCCATTGAAAATATTCCAAGTAATAACTTTTTATTTAAAGAAAATTATCTGCTGATAAATATTTCATACTTATTTTTTATTATTTAATATTGTAAACTACATTTATACAAGTATTTATATATAGAATGTTTTAAGGATGGCTTATTTATGAAACAGAATTGTTAATTTTTATTTATGGGAAATTTTAAATAAAAGTTATTTGTTGTTAGAAGCTTCTAAAAACACAAATTCAAGTTAGTTAATAAATAGTTTATTGTAATAAACCTTGCACAGATGATTTGAATATTAAATTATAATAAAAAATATTTAAATAAATGACAGTATTTAGTTTTTTATACAAGTTTGTAATGTACCATACATTAAATGTATCTGCTAAACATTCATTACTTTATATTCTATAAATTTTCTTTATTTTTGGCATTGACTTCAATAAAAAAAAAAACTTTCACAAAAAGCAAAAATTTTAAGAAATGCATAAAAACTAGTAAAATAATAAACAATTTTAATGATTTGCATAAAATTACTTTTTTATGAAATAAATCTTAAGCAAAATACTTATAATGAAGAATTTGTTGTTTAGGATCATCAGTTACAATATTCAAAAAGTTTTAAAATTTTTTATAAATTTGCTGTTGAGAACAAATCATACAGAAATACTGAGTGGAAAAAGTAGGTTTATTGACACAAAAAGATATGCATTTCAGGCTTAATGCTCTCTTCAGTCCTAATATTATTATAGTGACTGCTGGAATAACCAAATGGCTATGTAAAACATGGGTGAAACATAGCAAATATAGCAAGCATAGAAATTTGGTTATTCCAGCAGTCACTATTATAATCTTAGGACTGAGGGGCATTAAATCCATAATGCATATCCTTTTGTGTCAACAAACCTACTTTTTCCACTCAGTGTTCTCAATGGTAACTTTGTACTAATTCTGAAGGAAATACATGTAATTGAGAGAACAGCAAGCAACCAAGTTTTTTACAAATTGTTTAAATTCTGAAGATTATCCTGCAGTTATATATATTTTTTCTTTTATCTCATAATATTTTATTTAATAAAAGAAAAACCATAATTTCTACAATTCTTTTGAGTGTTTCTTATATATTATTTCACATTGTAATGAAAACAAAAACAGTTTTAATTATGAAACAGCAATTATGAACAATTTTAATTATGTTATAACAAATACTATAATTGCTTAAAATGTCTGTTTTCTAAACATGCCACTATTCTTTTGGCCATGGAATTCTGCCAGTTAATGTTTGCAAGATTATTTCAGATAGAATATACCTTCTTGACTACTCTTACAACCAACTCCTCTTGCATATCTAGTTCATCATTATTGTACATGCAAGATTTAAGACAACCCTATAGAAAGAAATTTAGGGCAGTAAGTCAAGTGATCATGGTGGCCATGATACAGAGCCTATCCTTCTTATTCACCATCTTCTTATCCACCTAGGTGGATAAGAAGGATAGGCTCTGTATCATGGAAATTTGTAGTTAAGAAAATTTGTAATAAGGAAATTTGTAGTTAAGAAATGCTTTGATTTCTCTACCATAGTGTAGTGTTGTCCATCTTGTTGGAACTAAATGCAGCATTGTGCTTCAAGAGGAATATTTTCTATGCACTCTGACAGACTTTCTTCAAGAAATTTCAGTAGCAATTTGCTATAAGAGAACCTTTTATAAAATATGGTNTATATTATTTCACATTGTAATGAAAACAAAAACAGTTTTAATTATGAAACAGCAATTATGAACAATTTTAATTATGTTATAACAAATACTATAATTGCTTAAAATGTCTGTTTTCTAAACATGCCACTATTCTTTTGGCCATGGAATTCTGCCAGTTAATGTTTGCAAGATTATTTCAGATAGAATATACCTTCTTGACTACTCTTACAACCAACTCCTCTTGCATATCTAGTTCATCATTATTGTACATGCAAGATTTAAGACAACCCTATAGAAAGAAATTTAGGGCAGTAAGTCAAGTGATCATGGTGGCCATGATACAGAGCCTATCCTTCTTATTCACCATCTTCTTATCCACCTAGGTGGATAAGAAGGATAGGCTCTGTATCATGGAAATTTGTAGTTAAGAAAATTTGTAATAAGGAAATTTGTAGTTAAGAAATGCTTTGATTTCTCTACCATAGTGTAGTGTTGTCCATCTTGTTGGAACTAAATGCAGCATTGTGCTTCAAGAGGAATATTTTCTATGCACTCTGACAGACTTTCTTCAAGAAATTTCAGTAGCAATTTGCTATAAGAGAACCTTTTATAAAATATGGTCCAATAAGGTTATTTTTTAGTAACCCATACCACATTTTTATATAAAACCAATGTTGATGGTTACCTACAAGCATGTCTTATGAGAATTCTAAGTACAGTAGAGCGTTGTTTATCCAAAACGTCAGTTATCTGAAAGAATTCCAGTTGGCAAATTTAAATTTCCGCTAGTGCTGTGGCACTACAATCTTTGGCTATGTCTTGGGCTACTCCAAAAATTTTTTTTTTGTTGGTGTGTGTGTGTTTTAGCTGGCAGCACTGGCACTTTTGTGTAGTGATTTTCTGAGGACTGTGTGTCATGCTGAATCAAAAATTTTTGATACTAGATTAACTTCTAAAGTTTTTTTTTTGTTGTTTTTATATTTTCCAATATATTTATTTTGTTTGTACAAAATAAAGAAATAATTTTTAACACTACAATAACCACGATTATTATTATAAAAATTTTCGTTAGGCTTATCTCAACAAAAATTCAACATGAAGCGACACACAACAGAGAAAAATTTCAACATGGGATAGGTTAATTTTTTTTTTCGTACATAATCGGTTATTTGAAAAATAAGTTATCCGAATAACCCCAGTCCCCAATTGATTCAGATAAATGACACTCTACTGTATAAGAATTTCAGATATTGTTAATTCTATCTTGACTAAATTAATCTTCATCTGTAAAAACTTAAAATGCAGGAAACTTTAAATTGTTCTGCAATCATTGGCAATATTGTATGTGATGCACCAAATCTCCAAGTAATAAATTCTGAATTTTTTGCAAATTATAAGGGTAAAGCCCAAAGTAAAGGGATAAATGATGATTATTATAGTAACTTACACTATCTGGCAGCTTACTACAGATAACCAAGCAACCCAAACTGTACTGTATTAATATACTAAAACATGTTTTGACTATTTCTGCTGAAATCTCAAACATATGAGAATTGACATAGTTTGTAGAAACTTTTTGCTTAAATGACCTCTAGAATACATGGTAAAAGTTTGTCAGTTTCCTTATTGGACACCCTGTATATCTTTCTCCCATAAATGAACTTTAGTTAAAAATTTTTCAAAATTCAAAATGTAAAATATAATAGTGTGTAAATTTTATGGAATTTATATTTATTCATATGCATTTACTTATAAATCTGTGTTATCTTGTGTGAATGTATATTCAAATTATATTATGACAATAATTTAGATACAGTAGATATTGTTAATCCTAATAAGTTAACATTTTGATAAGATCTACAGTCAAGCAAATATTAAATTCATAATATTGAATACTTTGTCTTCTTTATATCAATAACACTTTTAATTTGAACTAGAACAGCAGTTGCCAACCTTTCTGACCACACAGATAACTAAACTCACAATTTTGAATCCCACAGACCACTATCATGAATTTTTTTAAACAATACAAACATCTATAGAATAATTATCATAAAAGTTTCATTTTACTTTATTAATATGAAATTCACTTGTTTAATTATAAGAAATTAGTGTGAAGTTTGTTGCTGCTTGTTTGAAATAAGTTTATGGATTTTTTGCTCTTATCCACGAAGGATGACTATCACACTCATATTATTTATTGATAAGTCATTTTGTGCTTAGTTTTAGATTTGAATAAAAATCCTCCATTGAGTGAGAAAAAGCAACCAAGCATTTTGCATTTCTTTCAAAATTACCTGATAATCTCAAAATTACCTGATAATACATCAGGTAATTTTGAGTTGATCAATGTCCAAGTGGTAGCCAACTGGATGTCACAGACATCCGGTTGGCTACCACTGAACTAGAACATTAAATATCAATATTAATTTCATTCCATTATTTTAAAAACTAAGAAAATAAAATATTCATTCTTCTGTATCATATTTATACAAGGTTGGAATTTAAGATTTTTACACAAAGTTATAAATAAAAGTTACTACTTGAATTTTTTATTAAAAGAACTCACTTAATTTAGATTTGGAGAAAATGATCTTGCTGCAAGGCAATGTGCAAATTTATTTTACAATGATAATTAAGAGGTTTTTGATAAAATTTCAAAACTACATGATAGGTGCCAAAAGTTTGTGGCCTAACTATGTTTTGATGTTATATAAAACAATGATTCATTTTTTTAAATATAGTCTCCTTGCAAATCAACATACATATTACATCTTGGAATTAGCATTTCATTCCCCTTAAAAAAAAAGTCTGTCCTTTTGTCTACAAAATGCTCATAAACTGCCTCTTGCTATTTTCATCACTTTTTCAAAGGTCTTTTTTGAGTTTTTGAAACAAATAATCACTAGGAGCTAGGTTCAGACTGTAGGCTGGATGGTCAAGCTCCTCGAACCTTTACTGTTTTACTGTAGCCTTGGCAATGGCAATCATGTGCACTAGTGCATTGTTCTGAAAGGTGAACATCATGCAAATTAATGCAACAAATTTAACTAAATGAATGTTTCCAAGCAACTTATGCAAATTGATCGGAAAAACTGTTTTATTAGTCCACATATGGATGGTGCTATCTAATACTATCATTATTTTATTCCTATTGTATCTAAAATATAGTTAGGCCGGAAAATTTTGATGCCTACCTTGTACACTATACTATTTGTTTATTTATTATCTCAGATTATTTCTTTTTTTCCAAAATTATATTAATGCTGAAAAGAAAACAAATTAGAGGATAGAGAGTACATAAATAAGTTTGAAAAAAAATTCAGAGTTTAAAAATATTTCTCTCTGGAATGTGCAAAAGTGTATACCTCTAAGGGCTGTTTCAGACTATGATCGACTAGTCTGACTGCAAGTCGTGTTGCCATGGCAACAGCAGTCGGCCGACCAACTGATCATTCTAGTCAGACAGATTTAAAAATTTAAATATTTGTAGTCGGGTCGGAGCAGTCAGTGAGCTACAACCAACGAAAGCTTCAAAACTACAACCAATCAGACTTTGGATATATGAAAACTATCGAATCAATCAAACATAACTTTACATTATATATATTTCT